AATAAGACTATAAAACACACCTTACGTTATATGGCTGTACTAAATTTAGGGGCATTCTAGAGCTCTGGAAACACCAAAACTGTCTTCTCCAATCAATATGTTATTCACATTACATGGAAATTCTCTCTCGTGCATACAAGAGGGAGATTGAAACACACTGGTGCAACACAACCACAAAACTGGATGCACCTGAAGCCTTGCCTCTGCCTAGCATTTTTTGTGTGCAGAGATATCTCCATTTATGCTTCTGTAAGGCTGTGAGATTCAATTGTTTACAAGTTCTCAAGTGATACTGCTAACAAGGTGATGATAATTTAGATTTTTTATGTATGATGCATATATGAAAATGTTGTTTATCATTGTTATGGAGACAACTGCTTTCAGAATACCTTTTCATGAGCATCCTGCCCATGTATTCAAAGAGGTACAAACAAATACGACTGAGGATCTTGACAGATTTATTAACTGTGAATTGGGTAATCTTCTCAGACAGATAATCACTCAGGATTAAATTCAGTTGCTCACATATTGGCATGTATCCAGTCCATGTCCTCGAAGTGCATGCAGTGAGGACCTGAAGGAATAATGTTACCACAAAGACAAGGAAAATGACACTGCCATCAAGCAGTTTCTGACTCAGTGTCAAGTTCACTCTTTTCAAAACAGAGGAAGCAATAAAATGCATCTTCTGAAGTAAGTTCAGCATTTTAGGAGATGGGCAAAAGCACTTCCAGGACAATATGGGTCCTGTAAATCATCTGCATGGGTTCAAGATGAAATTGATCTCCTTCAGAATATGCAGTTTAAACAGGTTTGATCTACCAGATGCTCTTTCTCCTGTTCTTGAATGATGAGCTTCTGTAATCTCTCCTCAGAGGAGATGCTTACCTCCTATTCCAAATTATTCTGATCAAAACATTACCACTTGTTTAGGGTCAACTTCTTTGATCATCCTAAAATTTATTGTAGGCATGTTATTATACGAACATTTTGTATTGATAATGAGCAAACTAACCTTGCATTAAAATTTTTCACCACTCTTGATTTTTTTAAACTGATTAAACTCACCCACAGGATTTCATCTGAATTGCAGGCTTGTTTCTCAAGCTTACTGAGTTCAGATGGTTACTATTTGAAAACATTTACTCCTTCAGAATTTTGAATTTGAATGTTTACTCCTTTATTATTTCTGATTTCTACAGAAAACAGTTCTGAAAAGGCCAAAGATTTTATTTACACTACACAGTTCTTCCACCATGCTGAATAATTACTTGTACAACAAGGGTGAGAAATCCTTAATTGTGAGAGCTACAGATGAGAAGTGCCTGTTTTTAGTCCACTGCCTGAAAAAGAAAGAACCTACCACTAACTCAGCTGCAGCTTTTTGTACTGCATCTACCTGTCTAAATGTATCTTAGAGCAGTCAGCACACATTTCACATAGCAACTGTATTTACCTGGGAACCTTTAGACAAGACTGATATTTCAAGGAAGCTGTAATTGCTAAGCATACAAAGAGCTTTGGGAAAAAAAGCATTTCAAGTTTACAGTTCTCTGCAGAATCTGTCAGTTCCGTAGCTCATTGTTTTAGTTCCAGTACCATGAATGATAAATTACATTTCTTTCAAAATCCAGTATCTGCAAAAGCAAAGACCCAATACAGATATCATTGTGTAAGAATGCCATGACATTGTATTATTTCTAGTGGCTTGAAGCCCTCTAACAACCAGAATGTGCTTCTAATGGCCTGCCAACTGTTACATTTTTAACCTTACATCACCAGTTAGCTGCTTTTTATCATATCATGCTAAAAAAAAAAGGACATTTTATTATAAGAGGAAAATTATCTGTTGAGAAAGTATTTTGGAGAAATATTACTCTGAAATATAACTCTTAGCCATTTACTAACAATAACACAATCCTATTTTCACACAATTAACAGAATAAAACTGAAAAAGTAGGATTTCAAAAAATATTTACTATGAGATTTGACAACAATTTTCACCCCCCAGTTCTGGAGTAGCCAGTTTTGATGACATCGAGATCCAGGCAGGTAAGTTGCACAGTGTCACAGCTGCCACCAGACAGCCCTCTTGGCAGGTGTTCAGAAACTCTTTTAAATGCAAACTGTTTCCTGTATAGCACAATTCATGAGGAAAAAAGAATCACAGAAAGAAATAGAGGAAGAAGAGGCTTGAAATTCTTCTTAAAACCCTTGTACCTCTTCCTCAGGAGGTCAGGATTTTGCCTCTTTGTGGAGTAGCCTGTGAGACTGTTCAGAAAGCTTTTGAATTCCAGACTCCTTGCCTCTGGCGTACAATTACATCAAAGTAATTCTAAACTTACAAACAAATTAAGTAGACCTGACGAAACAGTTTTACCCATCATTTTATTTTCCCACAAAAGAAACATTCTTCCATATCAGAAGAAAGGTGTTTTGGACTAATGCAGAAATATCCACTAAAAAAAAAAAAAAAACCAAACAACTAAATCAATGAATTTTCCCAGATTTTATGGTTCACAAGAAGTACAATCTAATGACAACCTCAGGTGTGTGTGGTATACATTAGGTTTTGCATATTTATATTTTCTTATATTTGGCTAAAGTCTGATGATCTCATTTTACTTTTTAAATGGTGAGAACTTCTGTTGTTATGGATGATATATCATTTTTATACTGCCCCTCTAGACCCAGGAAGCATCTTCAGGGTTCTGTCAACTCCCTCATCATTTTTATCTATTAGCCATAAAAACATTCCTGCATAATGTAATTCATTAGTCACTCTATTTTTACAGCTTCTTTTGTTTTCCAGCTCTAAACCAGCTTCAAAATCTAAACTCCAATATTCCAACAGAAATGTGCTAAATGTGCTAAACTTTGAAAAGTCATGTAGTGGCAAAAAAAAAGTCAAGTGAAACAAGCTTCCTAAACTGGCCAGAGAGGGATTCCACTTAAAAATGGGGTATTTGGTACTTTCCAGTCCAAAAACTGTTACTGCTCATTTTGTCTGTCCACAGGCTCTTTGACCTCCACCTTAATGGGACAGATGCTCTCCTGAGTTCCCTGAGAAGAAAGGTTTGGGGATGGGAACTTCACTATTGTCTTCTACAGTAAACACAAATGCAAATAATTCCTGTAGACCTTTTTTTTTTTTTTTTTTTACTTTTACATTTCCTAGATATTCATTTTATACTGGGATCAGACTCTCTTTGACATCTACTTGTGGTATGTCTGAAGAAAGATTTCTTATTTCTGTTATTTGTAGAAACACAATTAAGTGGTCAACACCACAGTTCTTCATTGCAACACCTGATGTAAAAGACATTCTGAAGAAAAGGAATTCAAGAACAAATATAATTATGTGATAAGGTTCCAGGAAACACAGAAGAATGTTGGGTTCAATTTATTTATTTTATTATTTACACACACTTCTACCATATGTTCAATGAATGGAATGCACGGATCTGCAATCATAGCTTAGAGATAACACCAGAAAAAAAGTTACTTTAAAAGGCTCCTGAGAATATCCTGATCTTTCTTTGGAGAAAAATGAGCCAGTGCCTATGGCTTTCAAGCATAAATAGCTATTGAAGTGACAAGGAATTTAAGAGTTTCACTTGGAAGCAAAGGCAGAGGATGGAGAAAGCAGCTTTTTTCCTCTTCAGTTTTTATGCATCACATTTGAACCACAGAAATTATGTAGATGGGTCCACTGGAAAAATCTCAGAGGTGACAGCAGTAGCTAACAAAGAGTTGTACTAAAAAGGATGCATTTATACTGGAATGAAACTACTCAGGTAGGGAAGGTAACTGGCATTTCAACTATATTAATATAATAATGTTTCAAATTATCACTCTTACTTTGAAAACTTTCAGAGCTTTTCCATTAAGGAGTTAAGGGCAGAATCAGCAGAATTTGTCCTAAGTAAACCAGAATGGAGCAGATATGAAATTTCAGAGGAGTGGAAATATCACCGCTGCCGAGTCACTACCCAAACACAAGGTCTCCTGTGTCTTGAGAAACAGCAACATTGGGTCATTGATTTGCTTCCTCAGCTCTAACCCTGCAAATTGTCTGAGCTGGTGGAGGTATTTTTTTCTGAGGCCAATACATAATGTATGTCTGCAGGGAGGAAAAGGACAGAAGCACTTGACCTTTTGAAACGTGCAGAGTAGGTATTGATAAAAAATAATAATCTCTTTCTGGATTATTATACTAACAGGAGCATAATTTTTAAAAGGTGTTTAGAACAACTGGTTTTCTTTTCTACATTTGTAAACATACACATGAAAGAAAAGATCAATTTATAAATGAGTCTGTTTCTGTCCACCAAAAAGTCTCAAAAGACTCCAGCTGCCATTTTGTTGCCTGCTGGCTGCTGGAGGGGCTGCCCCAGTTCAGACACCCTTACTGTAAAAAATTTCTTCCTTACATCTTGCCTGAATCTCCCCTCTTTTATTTTATTCCTGTTGCTATAGGCCCTGCTAAAAAGATTCTCCCCATCTTTTTTATAGGCCTCCTTAAATACTGAAGGGCTGCAGTGAGGTCTCCCTGGAGCCTTCTCTCCTCCACGTTGAACAAGCCCAGCTCTCTCAGCCTGGTCTCACAGCAGAGGGATTCCAGCCCTTGGATCATCGTTGTGGCCTCCTCGGGCCCCACTCCAGCATGTCCATGTCCTTCCTGTGCTGAGGACCTGCTTGACCAGCTGACCATGTTGTTTTTGACGGAGCCAAGGTGCTTTTGATGGAGCCAAGGATGCAACTGGCTTCTGGGCTGCGAGCACACATTGCCAGCTGACATCCAGCTTTTCATCACAGCATCATAGAACGGTTTGGGTTGGAAGGGACCTTGAAAGGTCATCTAGTCCAACCCCTGCAGTGAACAGGGACATCCACAACTACAGCGGGTGACTAAGAGCCCCGTACAACCTGACCTCGAACGTCTCAAGGGATGGGGTTTCCAGCACCTCTCTGGGCAGCCTGGGACAGTGCTTCACTACCTGTAAAGAACTTTTTCCTAATGGCTAATCTAAATGGGCCACGTCCTAAAACCACCAACGCCCCCAAGTCCTTCTCTCCTTCCCTCTCCGGGAGCGGCATCTCGCTCTCTGAGGTGGGTGTGGGCTGGGGGAGCCGCAGCGGG